TGCGAAAACCGGTGCACCTTCGGTTTTGATAGTGTGACTTACTTTTAGTTTGTCTTTGGAAGGCTGTGGGTTTGGTTTAGTTAAGTTTGGAAATTCCGCGAGTATATCTTGGAATTTCGCTGTTGTTACTGGGGGAGTTTGAATCAAGTTAAGAGAGCTGATGTGACTTTCTTTGCCTTTTGTGTAATACGAAGTTTCTTTTAGTGTTAATCGCCGTTTCTTGGTGTCAACTAGAAATTCGTATCTCTCTAGAAAGCCCATCCCCAGTATTGCCAGATCTAAGTCGGCTACTGTGAAAACTCAAGGGAATTGCCTCCTGAACCCCAAATCTAGGGTTAAAGTTTTCTGCCCAAATGTCGCGATTTTAGTTTTATTTGCAGCTTGAAGTGTAATTGATGATTTTTCTCGACTAATCTCAGTTTTATGTTGAGGGATGATGCTAAGAGCAGCGCCAGTATCCACCAAGAAATTCAAGCCCGAGTTTCTGTCTCTAACATAAAACAAGCGACTGTTTAGGCGCCCCTCCTCAGTCGTCGCGACCTGGGGAGGGGTTACTCGTTTCCCGCTGTCTTAGAGTTATGCTTAGGCCAGGCGCATGGTTGCATGCACTTGGTTGAGTTGACACCAAACTTTCAGTGGTACCAACAAAACTGCTCAGATTGTCTGGACATTTGTGACCTGTTTTTTGACTTGGATCGTGGTCGTTGTGACATACTTCTGTTTCTATGACCCATTTGCATTCTGGTGACAGCCTCAGTGAGACTCTTAACACTCGCAATGAGTCTTTCTATGACGGGGTCTTTTGCTGATTCTACTTTTTGTGTGTGATTTATTGTGCCTGATCCAGTTGGAGGACCTCTTTCCATTATTCTGTCGGCTATACGCGTTAAATGAGATAATGAGGTTTCAGGATCTTGTGCATCCAAACAGTGTTGGACGTAGCATGGGAGAGCTTGTATCCATCCTTGTTTTAGGACTGCTTCATCCACTGTGTTATCACCCACTAAGACTTGGAGGTGACGTAAAAACTGACGGCGACCGATCACCTAGTGTTTCACCTTGAAAAAGTCTTCGGATTCTTTGACTATCTGATAATGATAAACGGTTCATTATCTCTCGTCTTAAGATGGTGTATGGTTGTGGTGATGGTGGATCTATAATCAAGTCACGAACTTCTTTGGCGACTGAAGGAGGAAGGATAGAACACAAGTCTCTATAGCGAATCCCTTCAGATTTGATATTGTGTCTCGTGAAATAATGCTCTAGTTGAGCAAACCACAACTCAGGATCACTACGATCAAATTCTGGAAGTCGGGATTTCGTAGTCATGACAGTGTCAATCTCCACTGGTGACAAATCCTCCAGATTATGGGTTTCTATTGAGTCTGACATAAGGTATATGACAAATATAGCAATAAAGTTAGCACGAAAAATGGTTACTATAACACGAATAACTTAAGATAATACGGAATAAACTAGTCTACTTTTACGATTAAGTAAAAAAATGTTAATAACAGAAATGAGGTTATTTTGTGTTCAAAAAGGGCTCACCAGTATCGTGCCTTAAGGTAACCCTCATGCTATTGATAGAAGAAACCAGACAAGTAGTGAATAGGTCTTTATTTCGATCTTCGCGCAGTCACAGTGGAGCGTGGGATTATCTGTTCAGACAAACAAAGGCTTTCAACATTCAATATAAGATAATAGGGATTATAACGCTCATAAAAAATAAGGAAGTGAATGAATACTTGAACAATACTGTTTTGGCATATGCTTGGTTGTTTGAGGTCAACTCTTAACCAACCAACCTAAGCTGTTACAAGTCCTCCCAATATACGATTGTCGTTCCTAGTGTCCTCACTGGGCTTCCTGTAGATGACTCCAGGTAGACACCTCAAAGTGTTAGGCAACCTTACTGAACACGACATAGATTTACCAAGATTGACAAACTCTGGAGTGTACACCTAATGTGCTACCAAGCAAGATCCTAGGCACAGGGCTACTCCGCTCCCAATCCCTGTTTTTTGTCGTTGCGAAACGAAGGCAACCGGATATCGCTGGCTCTTGATCCGTAATTTTAGATTCCCATGTTTCAAATGGGTATCGATGGCGTTACTTAGTTCACACAATTCATCCATTTCGTTCAGTAAACTCGAAGAGTTCGTTTGTAGACAGTTAGTACTGTTAATTTGAAACGCTTGAGCCTCTTCATCCTGTTTGTGCGAGTGAGCTTTATGAGAATGGGCGGGCAACTTACCCACACAGAGTTTCTCTTCCACATTGTTCCCTGATCTTGACCGTCCACAAGTAAAATAGTCAGTTCAAATTTGCTTCTGTGCTTGATCATCTCAAACCTTGAATGCTTTACCATTTTTTCAATTACGTTGAGGTTGGGGTTCTTAATTGGCGGTTAGATCACGGTCCGGAACCCCGTACAATCTGTTAGCAGATTGGACAATCTTAGGAGTAGATGACGCTTCCGATTCACTAACTAGTTTTCTTACAAGATCTGGGCCGTTCAGTAATTTCCACGGTGACCTTCGATTTCTCTTTACCCTGTCGATAGGATTTGCGTCACCTACGGTAGAACTTTTACAGACCACAGTCACATTGGGAGATTCTGTGCTGGGGGTACAAGCTCACTGAAAAGGTCTGACACCGTCGATGTTATGGCGGTGCTGCGTCCCAGCATAGCTTCCCAAGTGTCGATGAGTGTTCGATAAGTACTAACGTTATCGAAGGCCCTCTATGTTTTCGCTCAGAGCCCCTTTCTCTGTTTATTCGTTTCAGGAGCGCCTTTTTAGGGCTGCCGATAACTTCCCACAAACCTGTCAAGGAATAATGATTTGGCTCAGCAAAACTTCAGCACTCATGTTGGATGTGTCACATGCCCACTTGTGATCTGATTTAACCATTCTGTTCCAAGCAGTTACTGTAAGGTCTGCGCATACTTAATGAAAACAAGCTTTGGATTTGTCACACTGCATACAATAGGTAACAGAAAACCAACATTCACGTCGCCTTTATGTGTATCCCATTGATCATGGTGCAACATTAGTTGCTAAATAAATATTAATAAAAGTTTATGACCGTGAAAAGAAAGCAGTATAATCAAAACTGATAAGAAGGATAAAAACGGGTAGTATTAAAGTTCAAGATATAATGAAACCAACATCGATGAGAAAGACCGTGAAAACCAAATAAAAATCCAAAACACAACCACAGATAGGTATTAACGTGGATTAGAGTTGAAAGGAAAAGTAATCTACTAAATGTTAAAAGTAGGGCAGATTCTTTAGATCAAAGACGGTAATTTTGTTACCCAAAGACACATAAAGTTTGAAAGATGTAAATCTCGTTAGGACCATATTTCTCGATATTAAGGCACTTCCCCAGTCAATATCAGGCTCTCCCTTATGTCCATGCCGTATTCAAAGTGGTGGAAATGAAACCAAGAATACACGAACGATGAGTGAACCTCATCTTAAGATCGTGTACTAATTAAGCCATTACAATATGAGATGGTGTGGTTAACTGGATAAAGCCAAACAACGTTCTTTTATATAGCGTACGAAGCGTTTTTGAGTGACTCGCATTAAAGTATATTGCAGATCACAGACGCAGATGATCTGTGTCGAATGACTGGGGACCTACTAGTGTTAGACGGGAATTGTGTGATCAACCAGCCGATGATGAAGTCATACCTCACAGTAAGTATCTAACATGGATTATCCTTTCGTCTTATTCAGGTACTATGGTTGCTTTGAAGACCGTATAACGCAAAAAGGGTTATTTTAATAAGAATGATTGAAAGGAAGAGATTGCGATGACTATCATATTGACCAGTCCATAGCGTGCGATTGATGCGCATAGGTTATCCCTGAACTTGATGAGGATCGGTGAACTGTTCAACATTCACTGACCGGACAGTTGGATGATTTAGCTAAAGTCTAGTGACACCACACTGGACCTACAATAACAAAGCAAAGACTCTGTTTATTATTTTGTAAGGTTCTAATTTAAGGAAGAAGTCATATTAAAGGCAAAAAATACCTTAAACGGTTCATCCCGTGCTGACACAAAGGTCTCCTCAGCACAAAATAAACTGATAAACAGCAATAGGAATAGTTGATAGATATCAGTTTGTAGGGACGGTGAAATGTCAGCGCCCATCATTTAGTCGAACTCTGTTTCTTCGTACTTACTCTTACAAATATATCCCTGTAATAACGTCGTTTGTGCTATACGGTCATAAAAGTAGCCATATGACGGTGGGGTAATCCACGTTTGATACTTACTGTGAGGTGTGACTTCGTCATCGGCTGTTTAGCCACACTATCCCCGTCTAACTGGAGTAGGCCCCCAATCATTCGATACAAATCATCTACGTTGGCTATCTACAAGTTCGGTATCTGAGAATCAATAAAAATATTTCCACGATGGGATCAGATATCCATGTACAAGGATTACAGTAACTTCTCTAAGCAGACGGCCAAAGGTTAATACTCATGCACCGAACCACGTTGTAACCCTGATTTTAGTAAAACACGGCCCTGTTGTTGATAGTCCGGCAACGTGCAACGGTAAAATTAAGTGATAAAAGGTAAATCTTTAGACAAAGCCAAATAATAAAAGCCAAGACAAGGAAAGCTGAGGAACATAACATGTAGTTTAGAAGGACCTGAATAATAGTTAGAACACAAGACAAGGAACAAATAAATAACAAAAATGTTTAAAAAATGCTTTGGACGAATTTTCAGTGTGTCATTTCTATTACAAACAGTAGTAAGTTTATGTAAACGTGGTGCTTTCCTTCAATCAATGGACTGGAAATATACTTTCTCCTTTGGTTCCCAAAGGACTGAAGAAGAAATTGTAGAGTTTTAAATATGCGGATCATCTCTGGACCAGATGAGCACTGAGGAAAACTATCTGTTCGCTGGTTCTGCCAGACAGTCCCGAAACATGTAAAGCTACTCCGTTACACAGAAACATGATTCTTCGACACATAAAACAATGGAACATTTGAGCACATTTATAAATCACAAGGAAAAGACGGAAGTTTAAAGAGGTTTTTCAAGTTCGTTTGTTTTGTTTAAACTCATCAATTAGACCTATTTGATTGCCAGCCTGTAAGTGCATTTACTGTGAGTCATTTTTTTCTGATTAATTGTTGTAGTTCTCTCCTACTCTCGACCGACATTTCAGTTTCAGTTGACACTCGGCAACCAATTACCTTTTATCGTTGAAATTGTTAAGTGTAAGTACGTTTTCAGTCTAGTGAGTGAGTAGCGTAGGTAGAAATTTGCAATCAGAGTAACAATCTGACACTCCAGAAGTGTATGACTCAGCTTTAAAGTAAGCCGGACAAATGTAGACTTACTTTCAACTCCTCAAAATGTGCGCATCGTCACACGGCTTGTTTTAAATTACATATACAACTAGGATCGTTTTCCCCTACATGTGTCACCAGTTAAAAAAAGATATAGGGATCTTGATACACTGTGGTCTAAAACCCTATGTTGTCAGACAAAACTGCTTTAGGAACGAACCCTCCTCTGTTGACTTCAAAGCCACTTTTGTTTACAAACTTGGGGCCAGGATCTATAGAGTAATAATACTGCTACCTAGCTTCACTAACATCCCTAACCGGGGTGACTATAATTTATGGACAAACCAATAAGATTTAGGATAACAGATCTTGGGTTTTGGAGCAAATTCCATCTATCCATTTGGGTAAATAGCGTTTTGGCATTTTCGTTGATGTCATTTCGTGATGAAAAACGCTAACCATTAGCAGTAAATTATAATCCTTACTCCTCCCGTCGGTTTAAAACCCTCATTAGGCCCTAGTAAGTAAATGAACATTCTCAAGGTCCCTTTAGCGTCGCTGAGAAGTTCATTAATTATAATCTCACTCGCTAACTATACACTTAATCGCGCCAAATACTTAGACACTATCTCGAACAGGAGCATGTATTTCTTCTGGTTTCGCTTACTCACTTTTCTGTATTCACTATTCGGTTGTACAGTAAATTTTTCGATTAGTTCCAAACTTTGGAAACCAAATCTTACTAATTTTTACTTAGTAACAAAATATATGTTACATAAGAGTGTACCGGTTCACCTCAGTCAAATGGTACTTTGTTTACGAGGGGAGCATGTAGAGTAGTGTGAACGAGGAGAGCTGGAAGACAATAAAAGAAAAGGTGCGTTGACGGCTTAGGAAGTGCATATAATTCACTTACGTTTGCTAAAGAAAGCAGTAGACAACCTTCAACAATAACAAGCCTCAGGTTAAGACTGTTTCAAAATCGGGACTAAGGGCATATAGTTTAACCCGTTGTAAGCAGCACTCTTGATTTCGCGCAAAATATCTACGAGGTGCTATGTCAACGCTGACTGGTTCACTCAAAGCTGTCGGTGCAGCATCCTTTTACGTCTTATTCACTACTGACTAAACTGGTCAAGCGAAATTCCCTTGAGTGCTTAAATGGTGAACTTCATATGGTCTTGGTTACCTAGAGTAGTGTACCATACTAGTTTACTAACGATTCTTTTGCTTCATATACCTAGATCTCTATCCAAAGGAACCAGTGATCCATTACTACTATACATAAAGGCCCATTAAGCGTAAGCGTCTGCTATTCTGTTCACAGTCATTTGAACTATTTTGACTCGTTAAAATTACTGTCCTCAGTTTTAATTACTGTATTCTCACTCGGATTCATACATCAATGATTCGTGGGTCCTTTGCGTATTTAATTACAAGTGCTTTCTTTTGAGTTACGTGCATGTACTAAATCTTTAGTTCAATTTTTTTTCTCTTCCAGGTTCCTGTGCTTGGTGAGTAAACTGCCACTACCAAACTTACGTGTCTTCGTGCTTTTTTTACAACTCATTCACCCTTTCCACGAGAGTCTGTCAACGGATGGACATCACATTCTCGAGGATGTTCTTTCTCTTTGTTTATTTATCCTTGCTTGCTTTTGGAAATGGAATTTCAGTTGAAGAGGTAGGGTCAAAATCTTGATGTTATTGTCGTTCAGATATTAGAAAAAAAAATTAGGAAATTGAATCAGCTTACTACCAGCCAATCATATATCAGTCTTGATACTGATCAATTTAATCTTCTACTAAAATCACAGCCTAGGAATTACTCAGTTATACTACTTCTGACTGCCTTAAGTTCTAGTAGAAACTGTGCGCCCTGCAGGTTGGTATCACTTTGATATCCCCACAAGTGTTATTCAGACAAGCATTTGAAGAGTTTCAAGTTGTATCGAACTCTTGGAAGTATTCCAAGCAACGTGATGATCGGTTGTTCTTCGCGATTGCAGACTTTGACAAGGCACCTGGTGTCTTTGAGTTTGTAAGTTATAAAAATCTAGTCACCACTTTAGCTACATCAAGAAACTGCTCCTGCGATTGTGTTTGTATCACCTAAAGGAAATATAAAGCAATCGGACTACATGGATATTACGGTTAATGGATTTTCTGCTGAGGCGATCATGCGATGGATAACTGGAATTACCCAAATCCAGGTAAATATGTTTCGCTTTTAAATTTCTCAGATTCGTTTATTCCGACCTCCAAATTATACTGGAACCATGATACTTGCCCTTTTTATGTCTCTTGGGGCTGCGGTTTTGTACTTTCGTCGAATCAACTTGGACTGTCTATATAATCGTTCATTATGGAGTGCGATATCGTTGGTAAGCAATAGATTTTTGTCAGTTGTAAAGTTTGTAAAATAGAGTAATACATCGATCCAGGTTGTTTGAGGTATTCGACAGTTTAACCGTTAAGGATTCGTGAGATTAACTATCTTCTGAAGCTTATAGAATTCGATAGCGTAGTTAATTTTTGTAGTATGTTTTCAAAATACTTATTCTCTTGTTAATAATTTTGCCCTAAGTACCCTCAATAACGTGATGGTTTTTTGTGCATTTTATGTTGCAAGATGCTGTTAATGGTTATAAGAACCATTCCCTTCAAATGACTAGTTTGTCTCTTAAATACTCGCGTATTTTGATTGAAAAGTGTCAAGAAAACAATGGAATATTGTTAAAAAAGTTAGCTATTTGCATACTAAAATATAACAACCAGAATGAATAATTTTTATGATGAAAACAAAAGTTGATGTTTAATACAAACGTTCCACTCAACTGTTTCATTCTCCTGATATCCATCTTTGTGTGCAAAATACTTCTGAAATTTAATCATTTTTGAACTCAAAATTCAGTTTTTCTGAGCTTTATTGTTATTGATGGGTTTATTCAATATTATACTTTAGATGCGATATGGAGTCCTCAGCACAGTGTTTCAGCAAGTTTCTTACACAAAAAACAAAGAAAAATAACTGCGTACATGTGTACATAGTCAGTCAGTCAGTCGGCTACAACGTAGGACCAGGCACATATATTCGTTGACCCAAGTTGCCATACCGCATTAACACAACAAGATAAACACCGGATTCATAAAAGTAGTTAATTCAGTTGTGGTAATATATGAAAGAAAGATTGCATATAATGATATAGTACAGGAAGTAAGAATTAGTACGTAGAAAGAAAGATATGAAGCGGTTTTAATCTCTCAGTTTAAGGGAAGATAGAGAGTGTATACACCTACGCCATTGTGATCGGTTCTGAGCTATGTCACCAAGTCTCCAACCATTGGTTACGATAGTCACACGGACCTCAACCAAGTAGTCTGCCTCTACCAACATGGCTCTGACAAGAAGTTAGTGACTTCCAGCACTGATTCCACGTCTTGGTTTGGCCGCCCCTAACTTTCTTCCGACCATCTCCAACACCACTTGGCATTGCGCGTCATTGTAATCGGTGTTCAGGCATACGCAACGCGTGGCCCAACCATCTCAGTCGATGAAGATTCACAACCTCATCAACTGATTTACCATCATTCCCTAATACCTTGTGTCTAACCTCACTATTACTTATTCGGTGATCCCAACAGACGCCAGCAATATTTCTGAGGCATCTGTGGTCAAATACTAGTAACTTACGAGTGTCTTTACTCTCAGTGGCCATGTTTCGCTGCCGTAAATTAAAACAGAACGGACTGCCGCGCAGTATACTCGTCCTTTTATTGATAGACGGGTATCTCGCCTTCGCCATAGGTGACGTAAGTTGGCAAAAGTCAAACGAGCTTTTCGAATCCGTGCTGAGATTTCGTCAGACACCGACCCATTAGGGCTGATCAGACTTCCAGGATAAGTGAAGTTGTCGACGCGTCCGACAACTTCACTCCCTATCCTTAGTTCAGGTGTTGACGCAGACCAGTGCAGAGGCAACAACTTGCATTTAGAGGGAGAAAAGCGCATTCTAAACATTCTGGCATTGTTGCTTAGTGTTAACAAAAGACTCTGAATTTTATCAGCGTCTTCACCAAACAGGACTATGTCATCTGCATATTTTAAGTCGATAAGTGAACCTCCTGGAAGGAGAATAATGTCTGAGAATTCAATCGACGAGAGTGTTATTTCCAGCAGTTGGTCTATGATGAAGTTAAACAAAAATGGCGAAAGTGGACAGCCTTGACGGACACCACTTGAGGTTGTAAAAGCAGATGACAGTTCGCCATAACCTCTCACTCGATTGGTAGTGTTCGAGTAAAGAGCCTTCACAAGGTTTATGTACTTCTGAGGTACGCCTTTCAATGGCAGACACTGCCACAGAATCTCGCGGTCTACCGAGTCAAATGCTGCTTTTAAGTCAAGAAAGACCACCATTGTCGGCTGCCGATAAGTATGCCTGTGTTCTAGAACCTGACGACTGGGAAATATGTGGTCGATGCAGCCACGACCAGGTCTGAAGCCAGCTTGGTTCTCTCGTGTTTGTAGTTCACTAGTCTTAGTTAGGCGTCTGATAATTATCGAGGCTAGTATTTCAGATAATATATTAGTTAAACTAATCCCTCTATGGTTGTCACAGGATGATTTTGACCCTCTCTTATATATTGGGACGATAAGTGATTGTGATTAGTCAGATGGAATAACGTCTAACTCCCAGATCTTAGCTAAAATATTAGTCAACCTAATCGCTAAAATTGGACCACCATCCTTAAAGACCTCTGGAATTAGTCAAGCTGGACCACCTGCCCTTCCTCGTTTCAGATTAACTATAGCATTTTGAACTTCTGCTAGAGTCGGGGGACCTACTTCAATGTTCCATTCACAGTCTTGGAATGGAAGGTAGTTGAAGGCCAGCTGAACTGTTCTCTGAAATGTTCCGCCCATCGTTCTAAACGTCTGGACTGGGAGCAGATGAGGGTGTCGTCTTTTTCCGAAGTAGTTTGACGTACACCTGACTTATTAATTCCAGTTTCTTCTATTAGTCTGTAGAGCTGTCTTGTGTTCCATATAGCCGCTGCCTTTTCCATCTCTTTTGCTTTCGTTGCCCATCACTGCTCACGGTCGTTCCTTAGACTTTTTCTTAACCTAGATCTGATTTGTTTACGCTCTTGATCGTGTTCAGAGCCTGATGGGATGAGTTTACGAGAATCCATCAGTGCAATAGACCTAGAAGAAATCCATTGGTTTTTTGTAACCCTTTGGTTTAAATCACTAATAGATGTCACTGTTGTTTCCACAGCTTATTGTATATCTTTCTAAGCAACATCTGGGTCAGCCACGTTTTCAGAACTACCTAAGTGTGACCTCAGTTGTTCGTGGAACCTACTTTTGGTTTTCTTGCTACTCAATTCAATTCTAATGGGTCTTCTTGGTGTGGCTTTCCTGTGTCCAGTAAGGCGCAAGCAGACATGTGTCCGTATAAGAGCATAGTCTGAGTCTAAACAGGTATTTCAGAACGAGCGACAATCTTCTATCGATCCTCTCCAACGACGACTGATGTCATTATGGTCTATTTGAGTCCATCGTTGGTTTGGTGTAGGGGGTCGCCATGTTAGACGCTTAAAATTTGTGTTTGCTAAAAATAAACGATTGTCTGAGCACAGTTGCAGCAGATGATCACCATTATCTGTTCACCGAGGTGGAATAATAAAATACCCACCTAAATGCCTTTCTGTTTGGTTTAAACTACCTATCTAGGCATTAAAGTCACTTGCTACGAGTACTATGTCTGAGCGTTTAGCTTTCTGGAGAAGTTCAGAGAGCTTTCTGTAAAATTCATCTTTCACTTCACCCGAGCTGCAGTCGGTGGATGCGTAGGCAGAAACGACAAAAAGGCAACGACGTGTGTCCCTGTCCTTTCGAGTTCTTACGGAGTCGTTAAGCCGAACAGCACATAAACTACTGTTACGGAGATCCATTCCAAAAGTGCTTGTTCTGCCCTCGTACTTAGTTCTGCGTCTACACCCGCCAGTCCATGAGAAATAGCCATCGGGTCGCCAGATATACGAAGGGTGTATCTCATCGGCTCTTCGTTTCGGCGAGGTGAGATCGAGTAAATGACCACACTAGGATCTTGTATGCGTGTTTCAAAGACACAGCATACATCAATCGTACGAGATCCTAGAGTCTCAGCCAAGGACGCCTGCTGGCCGGTTTGACATAGGGTGCTCACGTTGAAGGCCCCAATGCGTAGTTTGGAGCGAGGTTTCAGTAGACCTGGGACAGTGTTTTGCGCACTAGAATCGTTGGCCATGGTAATATTTGAGGAGGGAGCCAAAAGAGGGAGTTTAGTGTTGAAAGTCGACGTAGGAGGAATAATAGGGACTGAAGAAAGAGGTTGATTATGAATGTGGTGGTCTTGTGTGCTGTTAGAGGTATGGGGGTGGTTATCACTTCCCGGTTGCCCACACCGTGGAATGGTTGTTCTGGAGGTACCTGAAAAGAAAATTGGATTAGAGGTGGTCTTAATAACCTGAGAAGACTTCTGTAACAATCATTGTTGATGTATATTTGTCATTCGATAATAATAAGTCTCACCTTAGTTAAATAGGTATGTCGCTCGAATGGTATATTTAAGAAATGTAACTATGTTAAACATGCCTTCCGCATTTTTAGTTTTTCTTTATTAATTAATATTATTATTATTAGTAGTATCAGTTTGTCTTGTTTTCTTAATTTCTTATCGTCGTATTTTTTCCAGAGTAACGGCACCATGATCCAGTAAACTATTTTCCCATAGCTCCCTATTTTTTTATTATTTACTTGTAATCCTAGTTCAAGCCTAAATTATAGAAATAAAACAATCGCTAACAGTTTGTTCGTTAGTGGTTTGAGTGTAAGTTATTCTTAATGACCAGTGTGTACAGTGTCACTTAATGAGCACTTTTTATTGTAGGGTGTTATTTTCTGTTCTATTTCTGGGCAAGTGTACAATCATATTCGTGGACCCCCGCTTTTTCATGCGCCACCTCCTAACGGAGAAATTGTAAGATGTGTTTTTTCTTTATTCAGCCTAATTATACACTAGAAGGCCTTTATATACGATGGTTCTGACTATCAATTTGTTGCAGAGACTTTTATTGTGATGATTTTATGTATCCTTGACTAGTTTGGTGTTTTTTTTCTGTTGTATGATATTTGTTTGTGTGCTTAACCTTAATTTGTGACTTATAATAAGATATTGGTTGCTCAGGGGGAATTCTTCTGATGACCGAAGTTAGTTCAACTACTGATCCAACAAAGCGAAAAGGTAAGTTGTGCGGTTCGTTTATGTTCTATAAGACATACAAATGTCTTTTTCTTTACGCACAGTTTACTTTTACTACATACTCTATTGGGATGATTTCTATTTTGACACATCCTTTGGTGATCTAATTTTTGGGATACTCCTAGATTCTGGATATTCAACTCAAACGTAAAGCATTTACTATATTCTTAAACTGTGCTACATGCTAATAACTTTTGCATAATACAGTAGCGAATTTGGAGCTGGTAGTTTAGCAGTTAAGACACAACCTTCACTAACGGGTCACAGGTCGTAAACAAGAACACGAGTGGAGACAATCGAATGTATTTACCCACGAAATTACAGAATATCACCAAAATCTGAGAACCATACAGTAAATACTTAATTTACAAAATATCAGTCCATCGTCTCAGATTTCATTCTTCCTGCATTTTCATACCAATTGTTTTCCGTTCCCGTTCCTTCCTTCTCGACCCACCAAAATACATCCTATTTCTGACTATTGTTACATACTACTTATGTGGATATAAGTAGCCCACATCACGTGTTGATGATTTGTTTGTTCAAAGTCTGCAAAGTTTTGCAATCCTTCCGCCGACCAACTTCACTAAAACCATAAAACAAAAATGTATATTTTATACGAATATTCGTCAAGATTAGAACGAATAGTTTGACAGTAATTGAGCGCCGAGTATAGAGAAGTCATTATATGTGAAAATTATATTTGAAATATTCTCAGCGATTGAAATATAACTAATTCCAACGTTTCGTCCAGCTAACTTGTCTGGACTTCTTCAGGGTAATAATCAAAATCAAAATTACCAAAGAAATATATAGCTTTTAACAATCAGGATTATACTGTGTTAAACCAATCATATTTGGGTGTTGATTTTTTGTAAAATAGGATAAAATGAGTCAGTTGACTACAAATCATGTGATGAATTCAACTACATGGAAATACTTAACTGAGTAACAAATCGTATGTGTGTGAGTGTGTATGTATGTATGCATGTGTGAGAGATTGATATGAAGGAATAAATAAAGTTCAAGTTCAAGGATGAAAAACTTGATAATGAAAGATAGATGTGCATGTCAAAACATAAATTGTATTGTTTAGAAACTCATTCAGTTCTTTCAATAATAATAACGATGCATGTGATATTAAAAACAGGTTTAAACAAGAGATAGGTTCCAAATTTACTTGTCAAACGGAATTTGCCAGGTAGTTGCCATTTGAATACCATCTTTTCGGTTCAGGCTGTTCTTGTTCGCCCATATATGCAGAGCTTCTGCTCTCAATCTTTCTTTATGGGTGTTAAAACCTTTCTGAAGTATTTTGGTCCCTTCAAAATTAATCTTGTGTCCTGTTTCTAACGCATGTAACGCTATCGCTGACTTATTTTCAAGTTTCTTTAAATCTACCGAGGATTTTGGAACCTTTTTCAAGCATTGTTTGTGTTCCTTCAATCTTACATTTAATTGCCTGGATGTTTCTTCAACATAGGTAGCATTACAGTCATGACAGTGGATCTCATACACAATGTTCTGTTGTTCTTCCTTTGCTAACTTGTCCTTAACTTTCACCAATGTCGATCTTAATGTGTTATTTGCTCTAAAATACACTCTTATATCATGTTTGTTTAGAATCCGTTTGATTTCTTCTGATGTTTCACTCCGGTAAGGTATGACTACGGTGTACTTCCATTCTTTTCGTATACTTTCTAGTTTAGTTTTTCTTTCATTTTTAATAATCTTTTTTAAAAACCTCTTTGGGTAGTTGTTATCCCTCAGAGTAGAAAATACTTTATTTAATTCGGTTCTTTGGTCTTCCTTGTCTGTAACAATCTTAGTACTTCTGTTCATTAGATTTTTCACTACATTAATTTTCGTGCTGTGTGAATGGGCTGAATTAAAATTCAAGTATCTCTCGGAATGCGTTGATTTTCTGTAAACATTTATTTTTAACTTATTATTATTGTGTCGACGTTCAACCAGACAATCTAGAAATGCTAGTTTGTGGTCAACTGATTCTAATTCCTTAGTTAGTTTAATGTTTTCAGAAATGCTGTTTGCATTGTTAAATAGTTCTTCCATACCATCTCGTTTATTGATAATAAAAATATCGTCTACGTACCTTAACCATAACTTTGGTGGACATAAACTCTTTGCGATTGCACTAGTTTCTAGGGAATGCATGAACAAATTCGCTACAATCGGAGAAACTGGTGAGCCCATTGCTATACCCTCTTTCTGTCTGTAAAGTTGACCTCGAAATATGAATAAGGTAGATCTTAAACATAATTCCAAGCATTTTATAACCTCTGATGGATCTAATGGGCATCGTAAATTCAAATCTAAATCAGATTCTAAACAATCATTGATAATATCAATTGCTCGACTGATAGGTACATTAGTGAATAAGGAAGATATTATCAAGCTATCACGGGTATAGAGAAGTATTGGTTGTATCTAAGAATTTTGCTGAAATTCTTTGTTCAAGTATATACTTTCTTGTGTGTACCTTGATTTGCATCTTTTCTAACACCTATTGTAATTTTCTGTTAAGTTTCACCTGTTTATTTATTTATTTTTAACCATTTTACAGTTTACACAGTATCAGGAATAGCCCTGTTTATCATATCTATCCACTTTATACTGTCAGTCTTTCGAAGGAAATATCACGGCTATCCATATGGGTAAATTATGTTTTGCCTTATATAAACATTTCTTTAATAGATTATTTTTCAGATAAATATTACCGACAACATGGACGTGTGATAACTATGCTTATTTGTTTCATTTTTTTAAATGATTTTAACGAAGAACCTTTTTTGTATTGTATGTTATGCATAGTCATATATCATTTGGAATAAAAGTGTTATTATTTTGCGTGTGCAGGAATCACAGTGTTTACTGCCTTTTATAAGGTCAGTGTTCTTAAGATGCTTTTGGATAAACCTGGCTTCAATGGTGTGATGTTTTTAAGCTATCTGTTAGTCGATTATGGATAATTAGTATTTTGTTAAAGCTTTAATTGATTAGGATGCCTACAGAATACTATTATTATTATTTAAACACGTAAACATTGGTACAAGGAGGTACCGAATGCATATGCGCCACACTTCATCATTCGATTTGTGTTAGAGCTGGGATGCTGCTCGGAATCCCAAACTGAAGCAGGTGGTTTCCTTAGTGGGCCACGCCCTGACCCTTTGACTTAGGGGTTCAATCCATAAGGCAGTGAGGCAACGCTAGGAGATGCAGTCCCTTTGTAGCTAGTGGCCATCAGTAGGTTCATATGCCATTCGTTCCTTCAGGATCCAGGACTCTATGTGCACCATTGGTTTGAAATCAAGGTTTTACAACTCCCCTAGGTGGACCCTTCGTATCCACCACCCCTGTCAAAGCGCCGGATATTCGCTTTTCGACCTCTCAATTTCATAAACAACACGCCCTCCGCAAGAATTGGCATACAGAATATTATGTGGTCTTAAAGATGAGCTCCTTTTATATACATAACTGTAATAATGTATATATTTATGTAATGATAATAATTGGAAGACATTGATAAATGAATGTCTGGAATATCCTAATCTTTACTACTGACAGTAACTTAGCTAGAAAATGATACTGAACATAGTTGAGGTATTGGTCAAAACTTTATTTCGTCGTCAGATAGTTCATATAGATTCGAAATTTCAAAGGGTTTTAGCCTCTATCCGTTTCTTACTTAGCGTAATGTATCGATTATGATCTCTCAAGCATGTAGAGCCGCTCACAAATTCAACTAGCTTTTCGGATAGGAATCGACTGCAAATCTTAGGTTTTATTATTATTTTTTTTATCTAGAGGATCATTTATTTTCGAACACAGGTTTATCCTGATGTGATTACGTACAAAGTGTGATTAGTTTAGCACCTTTCAAAGAAATTGGTTTAGCAATAGTCTGCAAATCAGCAGTCAATGAATATTTTAATGTTTTCTCAATGGGAATCAACACTACTTGCAAATTGCTATCACAGATAGTGACTATTACATTTCACCTTGCTAGATTATATGATATAGCTATTTCGTAGTGCCGTAAATCGTATAGGCGTAAGTTCGTGATTACGGACAATGAGACGAAAGCTCTGAACCCAAGTTTCGTACTAGTTGGTATTTGTCAGCAACCAGCATTTAAAATCTTATGGGTTACGTAGACTAGTTACCACATTGTAACTCAATTAGTAGAATTCGGTATTGACTAAGAGCTAATAAGTTACTCGGTGATCAACCATGGCATACTTAGGGCTTGAGTGAGTGTATATTTCGAGGATCTCCAGAATGTAAATTAACGGTGTTAATTCTCTGTGCTGTAAAAGATCGCTTCAACGTTATAAAACTTCTATATGAAAAAGATGTTTACAACATCACGTAAAGTTGATTTTATGGCATAAAATTGCGTCTGAAATGAGTTATATTTTTATAATTTATCACTGACTGATAGCTAAAAATACTAGAAAAGTGGCAAATAGGGATGTGAACTTATCTACCCTTTTTGTGTATTGATAAATTACGAAAACGTTACTAAAAGTTTTTCACTTTAAAGATTCATTCTTTGGAATAGACATTCCGTTTAGCAGAGATGTGAGGAACTAGGGATAATACCTAATAGGACGGTCAGATGATAATGTTTTGATTTTAAGAATATTCAATTGAGGTATAACATGCACTCGTAGAGATACATATTTTTAAGATGAAACAACTCAGGATTATTATTTGCGTAGGATTGTCTAACATCGATCTGTGGTGAAAATCACCTTTACTGATGAAACTAGTTTTCTTCAGTCTTACAGAAATGGTTACTTGGTTAGATCATAGTAAAACAATATACATTTTAATGTGAGGTCCTAACATAACACTTTGTGTGCGAAAATGAAACTTTTTGAAACACGACGAAATCCTGAGAAGAGTTTGTCATTATCTTATGAAGGTGGCTTTCTCTATAATCAATATCTGTTAGGGAACCACTAAACATTTAAGACCACTGGACGTCTGTTGCGCCCTCGTGTTTGACCCGACGTTAATTAAAACGGGACCAAACCTAGGGTTTTCTTGCCTGGTAACTAACACAAAACCTGTAGATCACTTAGTTTGAATCCAGTGGTATATAATTTCAACCTTAATCAGTTTACTATGTAGCCCGATTATCATCCAACTCTCCCGAATATGGTTGAGGCCCATTTGTCACGGTTCCTTACTAAAACTTCCTTCTGGTAGCCGATCGCCAATGAGCACGTTATACATTGCTCAAAATGAATACTATACGTTCGAAAAGGAAACAAGATATTGATTTACTAGTACATTAGTCCAAGTTATTGGTTAATGAGATGTTTGATTTCGATTATTAATTACCCCCCTAGTATCTTGGAATAATGGTCTCGTTGAATAGACGAAGTGTTTGAAAATGACTAGTCTCGTAATTTAATACAATCTTATCATTTATTTCAGTCGATCAGTCAGTATCTGTTAAATAAAACTCGGTCATTCAATCAGCGTAGTCTTTATTGTTTGGTTTGTCAAAAGCAGCTTATCATCACGTGGTCTTCGGGGGTACAGCAAGTCACTCAGTAACAACGTGAAACTTCGCACGTACGTACATCAGTTCGAGTTGCCATACCACATTAGCACAGAGATGCAGTTATCTATTCAAATCCCGTAGTGGTAGATGTAGTAAGAATGTAAGCAGTAATCGGAAAGATTAAGGTTTGAAGATGTTATTCAAGGAGTATAATTCAGTGAAATAAATTTAGAAAGAGAAAAAAACGGACATGTAGAATTCAGAAGACTAGAATTTGGGAGAACACGAAGAGTGGATACACCTGCGCCATTGCAAACGATTTTGAGCCATGTCATTCAGGGTCTCTAACCATCAGTTGCTATCGTCTCGCGTGTCCCAACCAGGTCAGTCAGGTACAACGTAGGACCAGGCACATATATTCGTTGACCCAAGTTGCCATACCGCATTAACACAACAAGATAAACACCGGATTCATAAAAGTAGTTAATTCAGTTGTGGTAATATATGAAAGAAAGATTGCATATAATGATATAGTACAGGAAGTAAGAATTAGTACGTAGAAAGAAAGATATGAAGCGGTTTTAATCTCTCAGTTTAAGGGAAGATAGAGAGTGTATACACCTACGCCATTGTGATCGGTTCTGAGCTATGTCACCAAGTCTCCAACCATTGGTTACGATAGTCACACGGACCTCAACCAAGTAGTCTGCCTCTACCAACATGGCTCTGACAAGAAGTTAGTGACTTCCAGCACTGATTCCACGTCTTGGTTTGGCCGCCCCTAACTTTCTTCCGACCATCTCCAACACCACTTGGCATTGCGCGTCATTGTAATCGGTGTTCAGGCATACGCAACGCGTGGCCCAACCATCTCAGTCGATGAAGATTCACAACCTCATCAACTGATTTACCATCATTCCCTAATACCTTGTGTCTAACCTCACTATTACTTATTCGGTGATCCCAACAGACGCCAGCAATATTTCTGAGGCATCTGTGGTCAAATACTAGTAACTTACGAGTGTCTTTACTCTCAGTGGCCATGTTTCGCTGCCGTAAATTAAAACAGAACGGACTGCCGCGCAGTATACTCGTCCTTTTATTGATAGACGGGTATCTCGCCTTCGCCATAGGTGACGTAAGTTGGCAAAAGTCAAACGAGCTTTTCGAATCCGTGCTGAGATTTCGTCAGACACCGACCCATTAGGGCTGATCAGACTTCCAGGATAAGTGAAGTTGTCGACGCGTCCGACAACTTCACTCCCTATCCTTAGTTCAGGTGTTGACGCAGACCAGTGCAGAGGCAACAACTTGCATTTAGAGGGAGAAAAGCGCATTCTAAACATTCTGGCATTGTTGCTTAGTGTTAACAAAAGACTCTGAATTTTATCAGCGTCTTCACCAAACAGGACTATGTCATCTGCATATTTTAAGTCGATAAGTGAACCTCCTGGAAGGAGAATAATGTCTGAGAATTCAATCGACGAGAGCGTTATTTCCTTCAGAAGGTCTATGGTTGAGGCTTCATCAATTTAGAAACCTGGTTCAAGAAATATGAAGATTTGTTCAGGGTCGACCTCAAAAAACTTGGTGACGCCGCTAAGGTCAGAATACTCTTACGAATGCTTGGAACGGCTGAACATGAACGTTACAGTAACTATCCTGCCAAGGAATCTAAGAAATTTTTCTTTTCAGATTCAGACCATAAACGAAGATTGTTGCGTGATGAAGTTGTGCAAGACTTGTCAAGGGCCGAGAAGTCTGCTGGCCGGAGCGTGCTAACGAGTTGAGAGTATCAGCTGCTGTAAGATCCATTTTGAATGTTTTGTGAGTGAAAATCCCTCCATGTATACACTTGCAGTTTGTTCCTATTGATTCCTTTAGTTGTACATTGTTAGTATTTTGATTCCATTTGAGTTGTAATATTTATATTTCATAATAGTTTTTATTTTTCTTACGCCTTCACTAAGTTTCCGTGTTTCTTCCCGAACTGCATTTATGTTGTTTTACCTGATACTTAGTCTTGACGGCAGCCATATTGGTTTGTTCCCCCCTTTTGATTGCGTTGCTTGTATTGACTGGGATTGTGCATTTTTGATTGTTAATTGAGGGACTTTTCCAGAATTGGAAACACTGTTATAAAGCAACCAAATATTATCTCTTGAACGAATCTATAAGTGGTCTAACCAGACAGGATAGAATAGCATTTATTTAATGTGATTGGTGATTTTCTCGCATCTTTTATCAACTTCCTTATTTATTGTAATTTAGATTTGATTAATTGAACAATTATTGGTTGGATAGCTGGGTGGTCATATTTGTTTAGGTAACGATGTACA